AAAACAGCTACACAAAACCCCCAAAACTTGGGACAGTACATTCTCCACACTAGAAACAGACCTCTACCTTAACAAAGAGTTTATAACTCTAGTAATTGACTGGGATCATGAGCCAACTGTGTAAAAAAAAAAAGTCACACCATAGAATCTTTCTTTGGTGACAAAGAAGATCAAAACATACAACCAGAAGAAAACAAAAAAGTCAAAGGTCCTGCACCCAAAGCTTCCAAGAAAAATATGAATTGGTCCCAGGACATGGAAGAGCTCAAAAAGGATTTTGAGAAGCAAGAAGAGAAGTAGAGGGAAAACTGGGAAGAGAAATGAGAGTGATGCAAGAAAATCATGAAAAACAAGTCAATAGTTTGCTAAAGGAGACCCAAAAAAATACTGAAGAAAATAACACCTTAAAAAATAGCCTAACCCAAATGGCAAAAGAGGTCCAAAAAGCCAATGAAGAGAAGAATGTCTTAAAAAGCAGAATTGGCCAAATGGAAAAGGAAGTCCAAAAGCTCACTGAAGAAAATACTTCCTTAAAAATTAGAATGGAGCAATTGGAAGCTAGTGACTTTATGAGAAATCAAGACACTGTAGAACAAAATCAAAAGAATGAAAAAAAATAGAAAACAACGTGAAATATCTCACTGGAAAAACAACTGACCTGTAAAATAGATCCAGGAGAGAGAATTTAAAAATTATTGGACTATCTGAAAGCCGTGATCAAAAAAAGAGCCTAGACATCATCTTTCAAGAAATTATCAAGGAAAACTGCCCTGATATTCTGGAACCAGAGGGCAAAATAGAAATTGAAAGAATCCACCAATCTCCTCCTGAAAGAGATCCCCAAAGGAAAACTCCTTGGAATATTGTAGTCAAATTTCAGAGTTCCAAGGTCAAGGAGAAAATATTTCAAGCAGCCAGAAAGAAACAATTCAAGTATTGTCGAAACACAATCAGGATAACACAAGATTTAGCAGCTTCTACATTAAGGGATTGGAGGGCTTGGAATATAATATTCCGCAGATCAAAAGAGATAGGATTACAGCCAAGAATCACCTACCCAGCAAAACTGAGTATAATCCTTCAGGAGAAAAAATTAACATTCAATGACATAGAGGACTTTTAAGCATTCTTGATGAAAAGACTTGAGATGAATAGAAAATTTGACTTTCAAATACAAGACTCAAGAGAAACATGATGAGGTAAACAGGAAAGAGAAATGATGAGGGACTTATTAAGGTTGAACTGTTTACATTCCTGAAGGGAAAGATGATATTTGTAACTCATGAATCCTTTGTCAGTATTAGGGTAGTGGGAGGGAAAAAAATTATATGCATGTATAGATAGACAGATAGATAGATAGATAGATAGATAGATAGATAGATAGATAGATAGA